GCTCAGAACAGTCTTAAAACTAGTCCTCCAGTCTTAGCACAAGGGGTTCAGGCACCAACAAAGGCCTGGCAAGCTGACTTTACTATGATTTGTAGACACCTTCTCAGAATGGATTGAAGCCTTCCCTTGGCTGGACAGAAAGAACTTCTAAAGTCATTAAGGTCTTAATAAAGGAAATTATTCCCCAGTTTGGAATACCAGTTTCCATTCAAAGTGACAATGGTACTTTTGAGTTCTCAGGGAGGTGAATTTGATAAATATCTCCTATTCTCCTCCCTCAACTGCTTTGCAATTATTATTATTATTATTATTTTGAGTTGGAGTCTCTCTCACTCTGTTGCGCAGACTGGAGTGCAGTGGCATGCTACTGGCCACCACAGCCTCGACCTGCTGGGCTCCGAGGATCCTTCCACCTCAGCCTTCCAAGTAGCTGGAACCACAGGCACACGCTACCATACCTGGCTAATTTTTTCATTTATTGTAGAGATGAGGTCTCGCCAAGTTGCCCAGGCGGGTCTTAAACCCGCGGGCTCAGGCAATTCACTCACCTCGGTCTGAGTGAGCCACTGAGCCCGGCCTGCTTTGCAATTATTAAACTCTTTTTTTATTGCAATAACTTGTGGCAGTCTCAAAGTTTCTGAGCAGCAGGCATAAAAACCCAAGAGGTTATAACATACATATGTACAGATCCTTTGACAGCAAATTTCTGCTTCACTTTCACGGCCTAGTACTAGCTCACCCAGTACAGGAAGGGAATTGTTTCCCAGATTCCCATCTTTCCTTCCCTGCTCTGAGGAATGGCTCCTGTCTTGATTTTGTTGTTGTTGTTTTTTGAGTTGGAGTCTCACTTCGTCGCCCAGGCTGGAGTGCAGTGAAACGCTCACAGCTATCCTAGCATTGACCTGGTGGACTCTGGTAATCTTTCCACCTCAGCCTTTCAAGTAGCCGGAACTACAGGTGCGCGCTACCACACCGGGTCAATTTTTGATTTATTGTAGAGATGAGGTCTCACCAAGTTGCCCTGGCTGGTCTCAAACCTGCAGGCTCAGGCAATCCACACGCCTCAGCCTCCCAAAATGTTGGGATGACAGGCTGAGCCACTGCACCCTGTCGGAATGGCTCCTTTCTCTGAACCTGCAGTTCCAACACCTCAGTATGACATATGTCTCTCAGTATGACAGCTGTCATTGCACCACATCCTGTGGAAGTTGTTTGCTGTAATTTAAGCTATGTGCTCTCCAAAGGCAGGAATCATTGCCTCCTGACCTCTATGGCCCCAGTGCCTGGCTCATTGGAATTCAGCGTGTTAAATAGATGCCCACTGGGAAAAAACAAAAGCAAAAGAAATACAAGAAATATTTAAGGGACATCAGACTTCCTTGGGTCTAAACTGAAGAAAACTCAGCTCCAGATAATTTTGTAACATAGTCACATTAGAAGTTTCCACAGCACTATTTGCCATCCCACTGCCTCTGTTCCCTGCGTGTTCCACATAAAACTGCCATTTTATTATCACTTCCACCCACACCGAAAACCTGCAGCACATCTCAATGAACAATTCGTCATGTCTACAAAGATTGAAAGTGCCTGTCTCTGCTTTCTTATTCAATGAATATTTATTAAGCAACTATTATGTTCAAGGAACAATTGCTTCAGCTGGCACTTTTGAGGCTCACTGCAAGAGATAAATAAGGGCATTATTATAAATGTACACCCAGGCACTGAATAATGGCGGATGAGGGTGCATCCAGCTTTACCTCTGCAATTTCTGCTTTCAAAATCATCACATCCTGTCCTAGCTTTCCTTGTGTCTCTTAAAGTTTTATAACTTAGGTTGCTCATATGATACAAGCCATCTAGAAACAGCTTTAAAAATAAGGCTATTAAACTTTAGAAAAATGTTGCTGTTCCTAATAGCTCCTAAGCCTAATGACAAATGTCTATAGTGCGTGAGAAGTCAAGATGTGTCCTCAGACCAGGAGAACTGAAGGCCTTGTCTTGTGTAACAAAATACATCACTCTTCCCCACAACACTGAGTTGCACACAAATAGAAGTTTGGTTTCTAACTCAATAAAGAAGTTTACAAAGTTGGTTCTGTGTGGTAAACAGGGATTGGGTGAGGTGGGTGGATTGGGTGAGGTGGGGGGACCCTGGGGACACACAGAGGAAGGAGCACTCCTCAAAGAAGACACAGGAAGACGTGGTATTACGGGAGAGAAGTATAGAAAAGGGAGGTGGTCAAGAGGCAGACACTATAACAACCTCCACTGAAGTCAAGGCTGGTGAGCACCCATCCATTTTGTAATTCGCAGGTTACAGGAGCAGTTTCAGTGCAGGCAAAGCAGAAAGCTGAATCACACTGGGTTGAGGAGGTCATGAGGGTGACAATTGAAGGGAGTAGTGTAAGCTGCTCTACTAGGAATTTGATTTCAAAGGAAGAGCAAGGCAGGGGAGTATCTAGAAAGAGGCTCTAGGGCACAAAGGGAGTCTGCTCAAGACCACAGAGATACAAGTGTGAGTCTAGGCTTGAGGGAAGAGCCAGTGGACAGGAGAGACTGAGGACACAGGCTGGGGGAGGAATAACTGTTGGGGTAAGGACAAGGGAGGGGATTGGATTCAGAACCCAGGGGAAGTTAGCCATCCACAGGGAAGGGACACTTCCTCTGAAAAACTACAGGGGAGGAAATTATGTTGGTCAGTAAGTAGAGAAGACAGAAAATAAAGGCATCTCTCATGTAGGTACCCTCAATTTTCTCTCAGGTTGACAAGTCGTCAGTGGATCAGGGTATTGAGAACAATGATGAATGTTAAAAGAACTCATAGGGAAATGGAAGTCAGCTGGTTAAGGACTTAGAAACCACGGCAGTAAACTCAGTGCTAGACTGCAAGTTCAATATTATATTAGCAAGTGAGAGACTGAAACAATGAATTATGGCTCTGTTCTTTCCTAGGAAGAAATGGAAGCAGGTTGATAGATTGGAGGAAATGGAGGCCGTGGTCAGAGGACTTGCAGTCTGCATGAGGTCAAAGCACAAGCATGAGAGAGCTTTAAGATAGGACAATGTACCAGGCACAGTGGCTCAACCACGTAATCCCAGCACTTTGGGAGGCCAAGGCCAGAGAAGTGCCTGAGCCTGTGGGTTCGAGACCAGCCAGGGCGACTTGGCAAGACCTCATCTCTACAATAATTTTTAAAAATTAGCCGGGTGCAGCAGCGCGCACCTGTAGTTCCAGCTACTCGGAAGGCTGAGGCGGAAGGATCACCAGAGCCCAGCAGGCTGAGGCTGAGGTGGCTGTGAGCATGCCACTGCACTACAGCCTGAAAGACAGAGTGAGACTCCAACACACAAAAAAAGAAAGAAAGAAACTGTGAAATGAAGATACTGTATCATCTACCTGAGCACCAAAGACATCCAAAATGCCAGCAGGACTGTGACAGAGAAGAAAACCCTAAGCCAGTTGAAAGAACAAATGGGTATGTAGGCATTTGGTTTTTGATGGCCCAACTTCCATTGTTTCCTAGTCTAATGGAATGCCCTAATTTCCATTTGGAAAACCACCTCTCTCTGTGCTCTGCAGGTGAGGTGGGTATGTAACTCCCAGCACCTCACCCTCTTCTAACCAAGGGGTAGGCACAGCACCACAGCCAGACTCGATGAAATCAATCTCTCTTTCTCTCTCTCTCTCCCCCTACCTCCCTCTCTCCCTCCCTCTCTCCCTCTCTTTCTCCCTCTCCTCAGGACTTTCAGCAGTACAGAAGAGTATAAATGTAAAAGATGGCTGGGACACACTTTCAGGGTGGTGCCCTGACAAATCCGACAAGATGCTTTACTGAAAATCTTTCTCCAAACCTAGCTCTTTTTTTTTTTTGAGTTGGAGTCTCACTCTGTCGCCCGGACTGGAGTGCAGTGGCC